CATGCGCCTTTACGTATCTACGTGGGTCACAGACACAGACCTTCTTTTTTTACCTGCCAGCGGCATCCCCCAATGGCTGTGTATACCACGATTTTCTTAAATAAACTGCAACACATCGCATTTATGGCAGGGGGTGATGCTGGGCTAGAGAGGGGCCGCCGGGAGAACCCCTGGATCCCCTTGGAACCCGTGGGTTAAGGCCCTGGTCAGTCAGTGCCAGTGTCTCCCCAGCACCCGTACAAACAAGGAGGCCCGGTGATTTCGAGATACTCCAACATGGCTGGTATTTCAAAGAGTATTCCCACCTGCCGCAAACGTGGGTCGTCGTGCCAGGCTCCGGAAGGTGCGGCGACCAAGCTTGGCCTGCTGGCCGCCCACGTCTTCCCTCTCCTGGCTTCCGAGAGACCCACTGACCTCTCCAGCTCTGCTGCTCTTTGCTATCTGCTGATTCACCTGTGTCCCTTGCCTGCCATCACGGACCCCTCCAGGCTCAGTCCTGCGCCCTCCATGCTCCTCCCTGCCCCCTGCCCTCCTTGGCCAGAGCTCGCTTCCGTGGCTTAAGGACTCCCAAACCTGTGTTTTGCAGATTGGGCCTCTTCCCTGGATGCCAGATCGGCGTCCCCATCTGTCTGCTCAGAGGTTACTCAGACAGCTCCCCGACCTCCAAGCGCCAAAGCCATGCCTGTCTCCACCCCCGCCACAAAGTGCCCATTCCCCTGCATCTGGCAAAGGCACTGCCTTCAGCCAACACTCCTTGAGCACCCAGCATGTGTCCCCCCGCTCTGCCAGGCTCGAGACGCCGTTAGTTAGCTAAGTGCCCAAGTGCCCATGACCCTCAACATGCATCTCACACATCAGCCCCACAGCGATCTCAGGAGCTTGGTGTAGTACCTACTCCTGTGGGCAGAAAGGGAAGCACCCCCCCCGCAGCACAAAATCACCTTTGACTTTGATCACTGCGCTCCTAGGTCATCATAGCCCACGCCCTCACCCTTCACCCCTGGTTTCCTGCAACGGAGCTTCCCCCTGGTTGGTCTCCCTGATCAAGGTAGGCACCCAGAAATCAGCCTTGCCCTTTTGTCATACCAATCGCCTGGTCCTGTCACTTCCACCTTCTAAAACCTTAGAAGTGTTTTTCATCCCTCCATCCCCCCTACACCCCCAAGTCCAGACCCCCCCTCAGAGCCTCCCCTCGGAACATTAACAAGCCTCTTAAATGATCTCCCCCTACAGCCAGTCTTTTCCCCTACAATTCATAGTCTGCAAACCACAGTGGTCCAACCAAGTCACAACCCTGCTTAAAACCCTCCAAGGGGGGCGCCTGGGTGGCGCAGTCGGTTGAGCGTCCGACTTCAGCCAGGTCACGATCTCGCGGTCCGTGAGTTCGAGCCCCGCGTCGGGCTCTGGGCTGATGGCTCAGAGCCTGGAGCCTGTTTCCGATTCTGGGTCTCCCTCTCTCTCTGCCCCTCCCCCGTTCATGCTCTGTCTCTCTCTGTCCCCAAAATAAATAAACGTTGAAAAAAAAAAAAAAACCCTCCAAGGCTGGGGCGCCTGGGTGACTCAGTCGGTGAAGTGTCTGACTTCAGCTCAGGTCATGATCTCACCGCTTGTGAGTGTGAGCCCCGCGTTGGGCTCTGTGCTGTCAGCCCAGAGCCTGGAGCCTGCTTCCGATTCTGTGTCTCCCTCTCTCTCTGCCCCTCTCCCATTGGTGTTTCTCTCTCTCTCTCTCTCTCTTCACCCCCTCTCAAAAATAAATAAACATTAAAAAACATAAAAAATAAAAAAACCTCCAAGGCTTCCTAATGCCTCCAGGATACAGTCCAGTCTTCTCAGGAAAGTACATGCAAAGTTGAGCCATGCCTCCCTCCCACCTCCTTTCCTGCAGCAGTCCGGGCTCCAGCCCCACCCACGGCTGTCCATTTCCCTAATGTGCCACATTTCTGCACATACCGTTCCCTCGGCTTGAAACGCCGTTCTCTATCCCCACTCCTGTCACCCTCAGCTGCCTGAGAAAGCCAACTCTTGTTCTAAGACCAGGTCAGTTACACCTCTGTTTCTGGTCCCAACTGACCTCCCAGTCAAGGCTAGCCACGCCTCTTTTTTTTTTTTTTTTTTTTTTTTGCCACCCTCTTCTTAATTTTTTTAAATATTTATTTTTGAGACAGAGAGAGAGGAAGAGCGTGTGAGCGGAGGAGGGGCAGAGAGAGGGGCAGAGAATCTAAAGCCAGCTCCATGCTGACAGCGGAGAGCCCGAGGTGGGGCTTGAACTCACAAACCCCAAGATCATGACCTGAGCTGAAGTTGGATGCTTCACTGACTGAGCCACCCAGGCGCCCCTTTTAAAAATTTTTTAAAGTTGATTTACGTTGAGAGAGAGAGAGAGAGAGAGAGAGAGAGAGAGAGAGTGCACACAAAGAGGGGGAGTGGGAGGTGGGGGGGAGGGGCAGAGAGGAGAAAGAGAATTCCAAGCAGGCTCTGCTCTGGGGGGGGGGGGGGGGGCAGGATGCGGGGCTCCAACACACGAACTGTGAGATCACCACCTGAGCCAAAACTGAGAGTCAGACACTTAACCAACTGAGCCCCCCAGGCGCCCCTGGCCACCCCGCCTTTGTGCCAGCTTTCAATATGCACATTGTGTTATCATTTCACTTATTGTAGCTCCATTGCGATCGCGTTTCCATGTCTGCTTCCTGACTGGACTGTGTAACATCCAAGAGCAAGGACAACGTCTCATTCATCTCTACCTCCAGCTGTGTGCACAGTTCCTGGCTCAGAAAAAGGCATGCCTATGTTTGTTGAATGAATAACCAAAAACACTTCTCACATACCGAGTACTTCAAGTGTTCCTGGCTCTTTCCATGCATTGTTTCACTTCCTCACCGTCGCCACCTCAGCAGGGCACACTGTTTCCACTCTTGTAGAGATTGGGGAAACTGAGGCTTAGAACGTGGAAGAAACTTGCCCAGTAGGCACACTGCTGGTGAGGAACAGACCCAAAATCTGAACCCACATCTGTCTGGCTTTCATACTGCCAATGGGGGGCAGGGGGCGCCTGGGTGGCTCAGCTGGTTGAGCGTCCGACTCCAGCTCAGGTCATGATCTTACAGTTCGTGGGTTCGAGCCCTGCGTCGGGCTCTGTGCTGACAGCTCGG